CGGCCATGTCGCTGCTGCAGTCCGCGCTCGACTTCCTGGCCGGGCCCGGCTCGCTGGGCGCCGCGAGCCGCGACCAGAACGACTTCGTGGGGCAGACGGTGGAGATGGGCGACATGAAGCTGCGCGTCAAGCGCGTCATCGCCGAGGGTGAGCGTAGGCCGCGGGCGGCTCCTCGCGCAGCCCGCTGCGAGCCTCTGAATTCTCCCCCAGAGTCGCCTTTTAGTCCTGGGAGAGGGAGTTGGGATTCTTCGGGCGCGGCCGCTTTGGTTAAGCTCGTGAATTGCTTGTTTAAAACACCAGGAAACTGTTTTTCTGCGCTGTTTTGTTTCCTCGGAGGCAAGTAGGGTGTAGCCTTAACTTTTACTTGAGATCATGAGTTAACGGGGCTTGAAACCTGGCAGATTCAGGCTGAAAAAAACCCAGTTTTTATATAGTGTGATTTTGAGCAGTACTAACTCAAAATTCTTGTTCTGCCTTGCGCTTCTATGTACTGGGTTTTTTTTTTTTTTGCCTTTTTTTTAAATCCACTGAGAATTGTGAGTGTGGTTGATGTCAGTCCCAAAGGAGCTGTGACATTCCAGTCAGGAGGAATCACAGGACTATCACAGGAGGAATTGCAGAGAGTAATAAAGAGCATGACAAGAAGCCAGGTTGATAGAAACATCTGCTCGGCTCTGAAATAAGTCGCTTATCCTTTGCTTTGGCGGCAGCTTCCCAGGATCTGGCCTGGATCTGCCAAAAGGTCGGGATAAAGATGCCAATCCTGTCACTTGGGACACCTCCTGGTCTGCTCTAAGTGAAGGTTTCGAAGAATTTATTTGTAACTACATTTTCCCTGTTTATCTCAGTGTCATACAGCCCCAAATGAGAAGCATGCCTTGCTGTTTGCCTATGCTGGATTCAGATTTTCAAACCAATATATCTGCTCTGAAACAGCCCTTAAATGTATCCAGCATTCGTGTGGTTGCAGCTTGCTGCTGTGGCCCTGTGCTGACATCTGAAAACTGTATGGGCAGAACTTCCAGAAGAGATGTTGCAAGAGGACTTCTCCATGGGTTCTTCTTAAATATTCCCCCTTTCCACAGGGGAAAATGTTATTTAACTAGTTCAGGAAATATTTAGCTGCCTAAAAGTCCCATTTTCTATGTCTTTGCAGTATATACAGTGTTCTGCTGGGTAAAAAGATTGTTTGATGTGTGTCTGTTGGGCATTGTCCTCAATGCAGAAGTTGTCTGTCCTTTAAATGAGACATTTTATTTGGTGTTCACTGCTAGGATTTCTAGGCCTGCTGTCTGAATTTGCTTTTGAAATCCTTGGTGACCTTTCTGTGTTGTGCCAACTGTGGAAAACCAGCCTGTTTTGTGAGATCTCATGATCTTGCTTTGTTTGAAGCTGGTGCAAACAGAGATGAGGGATTGGCTTTGTAAATTTCCATAATGCAGCAAAACCTGAGGTAATGGGATCCCTATTAGGATCCTACCGATACAACCTCCATGTGTTAAGAGTGTGCAGCATGGGCTGTGTGCCCCTAACATACTCTCTCCTACAAAATACTCTCCAGCGAGATACTGGCTTTTCAGTATCTTGCTATGGATGAGAAATGTCAGAGAAAGTAGCTCTGGGCCTTT